ATTATTGAATCATCACACTGTATACCATTAAAAAGCAGCCTGTTTGTGAGTTTTTGCCTGTTTTCAAGTAAGGAGTTATCGTAAAAAAAAACAAATTGCCAGCTGGTATTTCCCGGAGACTTTACAAATAAATAAAATCAAACAATATTATCATGCAGAACTAGCTAGGATTTGTTTTACTTCATATTTCACAAAATTGCTTTCACACCGTCTCCCGCAAAGTTTACATTTTTCCCTCTACCAACACATACATCAGGGCTAGATAGATCTCCACAGGATCTATAGAATCCACGCAATTTCAAAAAACCAAAATGCACAGTATTACGAAAAGAGGTAAGGTTTCAACCAATAGCAGATAGATTTTAATTCTAAACAAGCCAAACGATTGGAAATTTATCTACCAATCTGCTAAAATGAACACTTAGTTAATTTTCAATAGGTCACTATTGAAAAATACCAAATGTCCAACTGTTGCAATGGTGATCAAAATTATCACCGAATGTCTGAAAACAGCGCATTCCCTAATACAGACTTAAAAATCGAATTCGATGCGGTCCCACTGAACGGTGCTCATTCAATCACCGTAAGTGGTGGTGTCCAATCCAGTCCAGCAGCAGCAGTATTAGCAGCAGCAGGAGTGCTTTCAACAACAACAACAACAACGTAAGGCTGCCTGCTAGCAGCGAGCGCAGAGCTCATATGAGCAACCATGGAGAAGGAGGAAGAAGTCCCACCGCTAGGCTAGGATCGGAATCAGTAGCTCATCGTGCTCAGCTCAGCATTACTCAACCATCGCTACAAAACGGTACTTTTCAGGACCACCATAAATGTGTTAAGAGTATTATTTGGACATTTGTCAAGGTCATCAGTTCCCGAAAGCAACTAGCTATCAAGGCTCAACCTGGTCTCTATAGAAGGTGTGGAATTGTAGGCCCGAATGTATTGGTGAGATTAATCATCGTCCGACCATTTTCCAGAACACGCTGGTAGGAAGTGTTAAAAAATCCATATAGAATTTGAGAGAAGTGGGAATAATTCGCTTTGGGTGTATATTCAGTCCCCAGAAAGCCAATAAAATCAAATTTGTGATAAAATTAGCTCTCACGAGTTCAATCCCTCGAAGTCCCTCCTTTTTTACATATTCTGCACAAACGATACTTTCCGCTTCACCCCATTCATATAATTCGGAAGGAAATCCTGTGAGGGGTGAATTGAATACGCTTTAATACCAAAATGCACAAAACTTAAAAATTCATAAAAAACAAAAAAATCAAAATACACCTTTTAAAGTCGGGTAGATGAATCAAAAATACTCAAGTTGACAGTCCCTTGGATTCTCTTCATCAACTTTCTCTTTGAAATAAATACTACAAATTTGATACGCTTACAAATAAAAAACGGGAAAGAGTTAAGATAATTGATGATTGATCAATTAAAAGAACTAAATGTTCACATTTGTTCCATCCACTAGCGGTCCTACGTCAAGCTTCCGTTCGTGCCCTTAGGCACAGACCCTTCTACTTTTTTTGGTATTGAAGCAATCAAATGCTCGCGATATATCCAGAAAAGTTACTAGACATTCTTGACCTTGATTTTTGGCATCCGTTATAGAGTTTGATCAGGAAATTTATGCACGTTATTGCCGAACTGTTTTTTTTTTCGGAAACCAAAGGAGTTAGCAGGGATTGTGTTGTTGATTTCCGTTATTGCCATTATCCTATCCTTGATCACCGAGTTTATGCTAACAACCATCAGAGCGATTGGCCTTTTTGAATTCGGTAGTGATGGGTCATATCCTGGTTTTGGAATCGGTTTTATTATTGTAGTTCTCCATCTCTCTGGGATGTTTTCGGTAACGAAAACCCTATTTAGCATTTCGAATATTCTGATTTGTATTCCTATGTCCAATTTTTTTAGGATAGAATATGAAATCTTGTCTTCACCTGGCGCGGAATATGTTCTTTTGGTCTTCAGTGCTTCAGCTAACTCTTGAACTTGAAGGGCCTTCTCGTATCCTTCCAGTTTTTTCGTGGTTTGGCCTAGCGTGCAAGCTACCACATTCAACCTGTTTCAGAAAAACAATTTCCATAAAGTCCTCCCCTTCTTGTTGCGTCATAGTCACCTTTTTCCTGCTGATTCCTGAGAGCGTTGTATCGATCCCTTTAACGATGTTCCAAAGGTGTTTGGTTGGTGTATTCTCGTCTATTTTCTCAGTAAGCTCTTTCACGTATGCTCGTTTGGTTTTTCGAAATCCTTTTTTAAAAATTGCCCTTCTTCTTTGTGGTTCGATGAAATTTGTTCTAGTTTTATTTTTGTTGTAGTTCCTTAAAGCTGCTCGTTTTTCGTCGTATAGTTGGACAATTTGTGGGTTCCACCATTTCTTAAGATAGTTGCTTTTTTATCCTTTACTACGTAGCTGGAGCTTTCAACCGCCTCCTCGAAGATGTCTATCAGCTCTTGCGGGTCGTAGATGAATTGTGGTCTAATGGAGTTTATTATATCGATGACTTTTTGCTGATTAACCTTCACGAATGTTCCTGTAGCGACTGGAATCTCACTTCCAATTTGGATTCGTATTGTTAGGTGGATACTCCCAAATTCCTCTTGGACTATTTCCCACGAAGCTTTTTTGGCGATTCCTGTCGAGGCAAGTGTCAGATCAACCGCCGATTTTTTGTGTTCCGGGGATTGGATGATTGTAGGCTGGCCATCATTTAGCCGTACTGTCCTTGAATCTTCAATCAGGTCATCTAGTAGCCTTCCTCTCCTACACTCGGAAAAACTGGGACTCCACTTGCGAGCATGTGCGTTGAAATCTCCTGCTATTAGAACTTCATCGGTTGAAGTGTCTATCCACGAGAACAAAGTTTTTAGTGCCTCTAAGACCTCATTGTTGTTGTTTGGAGGTGCGTATATAGACAACAGTGTAATCGGGTCGAAGCCTCTTACTATTTTTATGGCTACTGCCTCCGATGCTTTAAATTCCGGAATGTCTACTTCCAGACAGTTCAGGTCTTCACTTATGAGTATGCCAACCCCTCCGTACCCCTGTGTTCTCCTCCTAGAAATCATGTTGTAGCCCTTGATTTTGAACTCTTCTTTTTCCTTCAGCCATATTTCCTGCAGTAATCCTATGTGTATGTTGTTTGAAACCAGATAGGTGTATAATTCCTCTCTTGTGTGGCTTGGTCTAATGCTTTGAATATTGTGTTGTATAACATTTAGAACTTTATGATCCATTGTTGTGTGTTTTTTTTTTTTTTTTAACTCTTTATTTGTTCCAAATTCAAAATAAATTACATTTCATTTTAACCTAGGTGCTCCAGTTACTGCAGTAACGTACCAGCCTTAATTGTTATGATATATATCTAAGTGTTTTTACATTACATTACTTGGCAATTCAGTATTTTAAACAGGTTTTTTAACCTGCATGTCAGTATAACAATTGATATCTTAAAACTAAAAACTAAAACTAAATCTTAACTAAGTATAAAGGGAATTAATCGTTGCAATTGAGGATTGCAACGATTTTTGCCTGAAATTATTAATTATTTTGTTGGACATTTGTGCTAAAGTCTCAACATTCGAAATTCTATGTACTTCGGTTGTACTGTACCAGGGAGGCAACTTCAAAATCATTTTCAGAATTTTGTTTGTTGTGTGGTGTTTCTATTCTTCCTTCAGTGTTATTGTTAGGTATATCCGCTTTTATGATCTGGTTTATCCTGGAATACGTGTAAAGCAACACTTGATCTGTATCGATTTCGTTTTCTTTATTACGCATTCTTCTTTCGATGTCATCTCGCAGATCGATGAGTGGTTTTAGCCAGGTTCGTTCCCTAAGCTGTCTCAGTAAATCCCTCCTGAATTGTGTGACAATACCTTCGATAAACGTGGCGTTGAAGGTGTGTCCTGTTCCTTCCTCGTTTGTATCTGTCAAGCCATTTTGGTTATTGTTATTTTTGTTTTTGCGTTTATTTGGGCGAGCATTTCGACCCCATCTTGACCCTGTGTTAGAGCGGTTTTCCTGATTTTCATTTTCTTCCTCTTCTTCCAAATCTGGAAACTCATCGTCTTGTTCCAGCAGATCAAAGGAATTGGTTAGTCGGGGAAATTTTGCTTCTGCTTCGGCGTAACTTGATCCATTTGTCCTCATGGTCTTCTGTTTTTTTTTCTCTTCTCTTGCGTTCCGGACATTTCCGGTCACCTGGCTTGTGGTTTTGACGACAATTGGTGCAGTGGTAATCCTTCGAGCAGTTTTCTCCTTCTGCATGAACCTCCGAACAATTTTCGCATCGTGGGTTTGCCCGGCAGAACTTTTTTGTGTGCCCATATCTCCAACATTGGTTGCATTGCTTTACTGGAAAAACATAGATTTCCATCCGGGAAGCGCTACCATAGATCTTCACCAATTCAGGAACTTTCTTTCCTTTGACAGTTATTTTCAGATTGGCTGTTGGAGAGAGATTTTCTTGTATTTTTCTCTGTATGCGCTCCACTTTCGTCACGGGAAATTCCGCAACAATGTTGCTCTTGATTTCCTCTTCCGTGTATTCTTTGGGTACTCCCTTCACGAAGCATATTGTTTCCTACGTTGATGCTGGAAGAAACAGCCGGAGGTTATGCCTTTCAAGGTTGATTTTTTCCTGTGCCGGGTTGAATTCTTTCCGGGTCAATTCCTGCTTGATTCTGTGACGTCCGCGTTTTGTTATTTCCTTGTAGTTTGGGAAATTTGTTTCTGGAATTCGTGTCTGGTGGCCTCACAACTGGATATCGAATGTTGAGCTCCATCATCGATGGCATCAGAAGCCGTTATCAACTTACATTCGAGAACATAAGTCGATGTGGGTCGGTCACACACTACGAAGGATTGGAAGCAGGGCCCAGGTGAAAGCAAAATCAAGCAGCCGCCATGGATGGAAATCTCTCACGATGGAACTATGCACAACTGAGTTGCAAATGAGTTATGTGATATATACGAAGATTTTCATTCTTGGTCATTAATAGTACTTTCGTTTATTTCCAGTTTTTGTTCAGTTTTATAGTTGAGACGTTCTTACATCCACTAACTAAGCCTATCAGACTGAATGTAATTCCTAATTTTCATTGTTTGTATTCCACGAATTGATCTTTCTGATGCTTTTCCCAGTTGTAGTTGTTGAGTAACATACAAACACCTCTAAAACTTAGTCACATTATGTTCATCGATCTATTTTCATTCCGCTTAAATAGTAGATAGGGGAAATGGCTCTAATGTTGGCTTATGGATCTAAGATTGGGCCCATCGCTAAAAATCTGCTATTTATCAATTTTATCTAGATAAACGCGTCATTGGGACGCTACTAATGGATATTTTTGGTCGCTATTGAAAATGTAGTCGATTGCCGATTTTATGCATGGGCCCAAATTAGGGGCATTTAGGCCGACATTACATCCATTTCCCCTATAACATATAATTTAGTTGTCTATCGAGAAGCAGTGGTTTGGCAAAATAATTAAAACGTGTCAATGAGAATTTTAGCTCGTTAAGAACAAAGCTAATCGTTGCACTCTTTGCTATGATAATGCAAACCGCTCACCTATACACACACACATTCATGCACTCATCATAAAAATCAGTATTTGCACTCTCCAAAACGTATTCATCCATTCATGCATCGATTATCGATCGTAATTGTTAATTGCTGATGAAGGTTGTTTTCGTGATAGCTTTTTAGTCGATCTTCACGGCACCGTAAATCTTGCGAATAAAGCTATACGCGGCAAAGAATCCGATTGTTCCCGTGAGGATGTAGAACGTGATTACCATCAAGCCTAGGAAACGGATAAATCGTGTAATCAACGTTGTTCTATATTGCTTTTGTTGGTGCTACTTACCGGTATAGCCTAAATACAGCAAGGTGGGAATAAATTCCGTAATCTCCAGTTTAGTGAAAAAGTAAAATATGCTGTAAAATAGAATGTACACAGCTGACCCGCCAGACACGATAAAACTTCGCCACCACCAGCGATAATCCTGAAAAAAAACATAAGAAATATGATTATTTGATCAATAAACGTGACAAACAAAAGTAAACGTACCTCAGCACACAGTTGAAAGTACGTCATTACTATCGATATTTGCCCACAGCTGACTACCAGTATGCAAAACACTAGAAACAGAAAGCCGAACAGGTAGTAGAATTGGTTTTGCCAGATGGCCGAAAAGATGAAGAACAATTCGATGAAAACGGCTCCGAATGGCAGAATACCGGCCATCAGCACGCATAGCGCCAGGTTCATATACCAATGCTGGTGCGGTATTTGCCTTGGAATCATGTTCGTCCGCACCGGATGCTGATAGGCCTGCTTTCTAAATCCAAAATAGTAACCCAAGTACACCAAGGGTAGTGAGATTCCGAACCATAGGCAAAGTAATGCAACCATCGTGCCAAAAGGAACTGCACCGCTCGAGTTACGATCCCAGATGAAGAAGTTGAGAATAAAGCAGGTACCGAACACAAGACCCGGGAAAAGGGTAGCCGTCAAAAAGGCAGCTCGCTCCCAATTCCGTCCTTTCATTGTCTTGTACAGACGGGCGGAGAAATAGCCTGCGATCAGGCCCATAAACACGTACAACATTATGCCGGCCGTCATCAGTGCGCCTCGTGACGAGGGTGAGAGCATTCCCAGCATGGCAATAACTGCAAAGTTGAAGGGACGTTAAGAACTGTTTAAAGCTAGGATACACAAACTTACTGATCGTAATCATAGCCATGAAGAAAATCTGAATTCCACTACCGATAACGGCAGCGAACAGCCTTGGATGTCTCGGTGGCCTGAATACATCCCCGTGGACCAGCTTCCAGCCAGTTTCTTCCAAAGTGTCCTCAATATTAACACTATCGTCGGTGTTGTACTTTGCAATATCTCGACGAAGCGTTCGCACCATGATCATAGTTAGGATACCTTGAATAAATTTGAACGTAATACATCAATAGAAATTTACTATCTCAGTACACGTAAACTTACCAGAGAGGAAAAATACCACCACCAACGAATTGATGATGCTGAACCAATGGATCTGAACATCGTTCATGCCGAGATAGATATCCCACCGAGATGCCCACTTAACCGACGATTCTTTCCACTCGACCGAGTAAGTAAAGAATAATTGTGTATGTCCCGCGTGCACTGAAACCGGTTGCGGTCGAGGGCTCTCCGGAAAACTGCACGTATCACCTTCGAAGCTAAGTTGATCCTTATGAATTGATAAGGTTTCCACTTCGAAACCTACAACGCGATATTGATTCCTAAAAGAGTAAGAACAACTCCCCATTTAGCAATAACTCAACGCCCGAATCTTGGATTGATCTTACTCGCTGTGCATATGATAGAACAAACGGAACTTGAGATGATTATTGATATACACATTATTTCCGTCCACTTGCCCCAGACGGTAACCGTGCTCGAACTGTTGTTCGTTTGTATCCGGATTCACAAACTTGGTAGCCACCGGTAGGTTATCCACGATCCTGGAAAACAACCCAATAATATTATTTTGTTCCTCACACATTTCAACCAATTAACTTACAAATGCACAAAATATTCGTGCCTAATTCGTTCGGCCACCTTCTCCGACTGCTCTCGATCCCAGTTCATGGGTCGATCCTTGCTATTGCACAACAGCTTACAGCGAACATTTTCCGCCATCCGTACTTCGTACGGTGTATTTACGATCCGATCGCCCCGAAGCACCTCGCCGAGATTTTCACTCTTGTACACCAGTGTCCCATTCTTCGGTAAGCAAAACTGCAGCGAGTAATACTCGTACGGCAATTGCGTGTGGGTACTGGTCATCTTAACCGCTTTCACGTCTATTTTCAGCCCTTTTCGGAACTCGACCGGAGCCACCCCGGGCACGTAAAAACTTTGCACCATACAACATTGTAGCAAAGCTACTGCGAAAACAACTATCAGCTGCCACTGGAACAAATGGAACCGAAATTTAACCACCAACATTATTTCATTGACGACATACGATCCAGCCAATGAAAACAAGTGAAACTTTACGTGTCACACTCGAGTGAAAGAAAGTTTTCTCATTAAGTACTTCAGACAAAAGACGATCGCTTGCATTGCGAGAAATTCAAACACCAACTTACTCTATATTCCATGTTTCTATGTACTGCAGCCGATGTTACTTTCTACTAGATACTAATTCATTGAAATTCAGCGAAGGAAGCTAGAAGTTTAGCAAATAAATTAAGAAAATATTTTCAGGATCTCGTCAAACCAGATGCGAAGATTTTTCTTTCACTTTTTCTTTTTTCCGCATGCAATCTGTTGACAGAGATGACAGCAAGCTCGGTGTTCAGAACAGAGCTGTGCTACCAGCGTGTTTCACTGGAAAGGTTACCTCCTGGATTCCAAAAAGAGTAAAAGATACTCATTAAATGGGTACTTTTAAGTTAGCGTGTTGATCAGGGTGGCCAGACCTACCGATTTTCAGAGTGCCTACCGATTCACAGACGAAAGGTTCAAAACTACCGATTTTTCACTTTTCCTACCGAGAATCACAGATTTTTAGATTATAAATAGAAAAATTGATTTCGACACGTTTATAGCAGAAGAACTGAAGAACAGTGTATTGTTCTGGAGCACAGAGTCATTCACCCCCCCCCTCACAAAAGTTTCAAGTATCGGGAAAGCCTTCCCGCATAAGCGCGAACCATAAATTGACCTTACCGATAATGGTTATAAATTGTTTATAATCCCTGCTAAACTTCAACTGAAATGGTTATGGAACTTTACATGAACGTTTAATGATAAAGTTTTAACCTTAAGTATTATAGTTTTTTGGAAGTGGACCTTACAAATAATGGGTTGTTAAGAACCATTACCATTCAAAATTCTTGTTTTCTCCATACATTTTCGGAAACAAAACTATACTAAAACCTTTTAACTTATGGTTTGAGAACATTAATGGTTATGGTTATGGTAACCAGTAAGGTCCATGAATGGTTTTGTAACATCGATCAACCTTATGTGGAATATATCGCGAATTGGTTGCCTGTAAATTACTGATTACCAATTCACGATATATTTCACGTAAAGTTGAGCGATGGTACAAAACCATTAATGGACCTTACTGACTACCATAACCACAACCATTAATGTTCTCAAACCATAAGTAAAAACGTTCTAATATAGTTCTCTTTCCGAAAATGTATGGAGAAAACAAGAATTTGGAATGGTAATGGTTCTTAACAACCCATTATTTGTAAGGTCCGCTTCCAAAAAGCCATAATACATAAGGTTAAAACTTTATCACACAAACGTTCATGTAAAGTTCCATAACCATTTCAGTTGAAGTTTAGCGGGGATTATAAACAATTTATAACCATTATCGGTAAGGTCATGTGATGGTTCGCGTTTATGCGGGTTCTTAAGTCGCACGGTGTTTCGCAAAAACCCATTAATGGGTATAAAAATACCCATTTCCGCTAAAAGTGCCCCTCCTCATTTAATGGGTAAACTATGGTTTACTCATAAATGGGTAAATGGGTGGTCTGTCAATAAATGGGTGTTTTTTCACCCATTTTCTTATATTGTGTTTACCGTAAAATGGGTGAAAAAATACCCATTTTTACAAATGGAGGATGCAAGCGCTCGTTGATGTAAAAATGTTTTTAAAACATTGAAAATAAATGCAGGTGTTCCGCTCAAATTTTTCACGAAACATTATAATACAAATTATCCATTGTATTGACTTATCCGTAAGCCTCTCCAACGTTTTGGATTCTAATATTTTCCGGAGATCGTTGCTGCGGACAGTAACTGTTTGCATCGTGGTTTGCATTCCCAATGACGGAAATGAGACGATAAAATTTCGAAGTGTTTTTTCACCCATTAATGGGTAAAAAATATACCCATTATTCAACCGTGAACTGATTCTTTAAATGGGTATTATTTCACCCATTTTATGATTTCAAAATTCCCCCATTTTTTGACAGCTGCATACATGGTTTGAAAATGGGTATTTTTTTACCCATTAATGGGTTTTCACGAAACACCGTGCGACCTACCGATAAAAGCTTTGAGAAGCTACCGATAATGAAAAAAATAATCTGGCCACTCTGGTGTTGATTACAAACAAATTTAGTTGAGCTGTCAATGACTCGCGCTTATTCCGGTGCTACACCGCTAAAACGAAAACGACACTAGTCTAGAAGTAAACACCTTATTTTCGGTAGGATGCATTTTTGTCGATATTATTTAATGCTATAATAACATTAAATTTTAATGTTATCAGCTTGTTAGCAAGTAATTCATGTTCCGTGCATTTTTTGCTGCTGGTGTTAGGAAATTCTGTTCACATCAGGCTATAGCCGGCAATGCACCAATGAAGTACCTCAACGTAGCGGAAAAAAATGATGCAGCCAAAAATATTGCCGGTTTACTATCGCGTGGGTCATCCCAACGGGTAAGTTTTAAAGTCTGTGTATTTGCTCAGTTTAAATATTTTTGATATAAATTTAAATTTGTAGCGCGAAGGATATTCTCCGTACAATAAAATATACGAATTCAACTACAACATCCAAGGGCAGCAAGTGCAGATGTTGATGACCTCGGTATCGGGTCATTTGCTGAACTATGAATTTCTGCCTTCGTTTCGGGGATGGCACAGTTGCAATCCGGAGCAGCTTTTCGATGCTCCAGTTCGGAAAAACTGTACCGAAAACATGGATAAGATCAAAAAAACTTTGGAGCGAGAAGTTCGCAGTTGTCAAACGTTGATCATTTGGACCGATTGTGATCGAGAAGGCGAAAACATTGGATTTGAAATTATCGAAGTGTGTCGGGCAATCAAGCCGCAGATCCGGGTGTTGAGGGCAAAATTTTCCGAGATAACGGCACCGTCTGTGAAGCGGGCCATAGAGAATCTGTCCGCGCCCGATGAGCGACAGAATGAGGCGGTCAATGTGCGCAGTGAGTTGGATCTCCGTATCGGAGCAGCGTTTACACGATTTCAGACCCTGCGGTTGCAGAACGTGTTCCCGGCGAAGATAGTTAACAATCTGGTGTCGTACGGAAGTTGCCAAATCCCTACTTTGGGATTTGTGGCTCAACGGTACAAAGAGATTGAAAGGTTCATACCTCAGGGGTTTTGGAAAATTAAGTGTAAGTATTTGCCTTCTAGTTAATAGTTAATAGATGACATTTTATGATCTTGGTACATTTAGTAAACCACACTATCGATGAACTGACGGTTGAATTCAACTGGGCAAGGAATCGTCTATTCGATAAGCAATGCTGTGAGGCGTATTTAATGCTGTGCCAAGCAGATCCACCGGTGAAAATCGTAAGCGTTACAAACAAACCGAAAAGTAAGTGGAGACCAACACCACTGGATACGGTTGAACTGGAAAAACTTGGTTCCAGGAAGCTGAAAATCAGCGCCAAGCAAACAATGACCATAGCGGAGAAACTTTACACGCAAGGTATCATAGATGTTTTGAATTCGGATCACAAGTGATTTCAATTGACTTATTTCTGTTCCTAAGGTATAATCAGCTATCCCCGTACTGAGACTAACATGTTCTCCAACGATATGAAACTGGCACCGCTAGTAGAAATGCAAACCGACAATCCAGAGTGGGGTGGGTTTGCCCAGAAAGTGCTACAATGGGGACCAAATCCTCGCAACGGCAAGAAATCCGACCAGGCACATCCTCCTATTCATCCGACTAAGTACGTCACTAACCTAAACGGTGATGAGAGAAAAATCTACGAGCTGGTGGTGCGTCATTTCCTGGCTTGCATTAGTAAGGATGCTCTCGGATCGGAGACGGTCGTTAATGCTGTGTTAGCGGATGAGGAATTCACAGCTTCCGGATTGTGTATTCTCGAGCGAAACTACTTGGAGGTTTATCCTTACGACCGATGGAACTCGAGAGAGATACATCCCTATCAGGTGGGGAATACATTTGAACCGACGGAATTGAGTTTACACGAAGGTTCAACGACGGCACCTAACATGCTGACTGAGGCGGATTTGATTGCGTTAATGGAGAAGCATGGCATTGGAACTGATGCGACTCATGCAGAACATATCAATACGATTAAGGAGCGTGGATATATTGGAGAGGCTGATCGGGGATTTCTGGTTCCTGGAACGTTAGGCATGGGACTGGTGGAAGGCTATGAAGCGATGGACCTTTCGCTTGCCCAACCGGAACTTCGAGCAGGGCTCGAAGCTGACTTGAAATTGATCTGCGAAGGAAGTAAAGATCCCAAACTTGTGCTTGAGGAGCAAATTCAGAAGTACAAGGAAGCCTACCGGGTGATAACGCAGAAAGCGCGAGCACTCGATCAAGCCATGGGACAGCGGTTGAACGAAGTGCCAAAGGATGCTCCTCAATTCAATTCCGGTGGTTCTATTCAGGAAGTGTGCAAGTGTCCAAAATGCTCCCAAATGATGTGCCTTAAGATGAAAAAGGACGGTAACGGTTTCTACCTGGGCTGCCTAGGTTTCCCTGAGTGCAGGAATAGCGTGTGGTTCGATGATAATATCAAGGAAGCATCAGGAACAGATGAAGTATGCTCAAAATGCGGAGGAGGTAATAAGAAAATAATGGTTAAATTTAAACATACGCGCCTATATGGTTATCTAAACCACATGAATGCCGATTCGTACAAAACCTGCATCGTATGCGACAACAAGTTCCGAGAGATTCTTGGAATCGACGACAGTCTGGTGAAACAATTTAGATCGAATGGCATTCGAACGGATGTAGCTGCTGCACCGCGAGGAAATGCTTCTTTTGGAAATTCCGCAAGCACTCGACCGTCCCAGAACTTTCCAAGCAATCCATCGAGTGGACGTGGCACCGGTGGTAGTGCGAACAACGACGGACGCAGCGGCTGGGGCTCCAACAACGATAACGATGATGATCGCCGAGGTGGTGGTGGTGGGGCAATCTCATCCGGTACTCGATCCAACAATACCTCAAGTAGTGGCTGGGGGAGCGGTTCCAGCTCCTCAAATACGACACAAAATAGAGTGGGTGGTCCACGACCAAACCAGCTCAATTCTGATACTACACGGAACATAAATCCGAAACCAGCTCCACCACCACCGCGGACGTCTTTCGGAGCAAACGCCGTGGAAATACGTTGTGGCTGCAATCTCCCAGCAAAGCCACTTACCGTCCGGAAAGATGGTCCTAATAAGGGGCGTCCATTTTTCGGCTGTACTAAAGAGCAAGGCAAGCAGTGTGGATTTTTCAAGTGGGCTGATGAAGATAACGCTCCCCAAGGGGGAGCCTCGGGTAGTTCTACGTGGGGACAAACCAGGCCGCCTCCACCTCCGCATGATAGTTTCGGGGGCGGAGGAGGAAGTCGTGGTGGGTCCACTTCGGAATGGGGACGATCGAACAATAAAGGTCCCAATGCTAAGGGTGGAGATCGTCCGAAAGCGACAAGAAAATGTGGATTCTGTAGACAGGAAGGGCACACCAAGGCCAAGTGTCCCCAGCGGGAAAGTATGGATTATTAACGTTACATGTTGGGCGTTTTGCGTTGAGCATTTAGATAAGGTTGTAACTCTTGTTTTTGTATATAAAGAATAATGCATACGATAAGCTGCTTGTGGTTTGGGATATATCCGAAACCCTGCTGTTTGTGTCCGTACACTCCGTTATGAAATCGACTTTTGCCCGGGTTGTTTTTTTTTTTTTTGTTAACGTAAATTGTGATTGTGCAGTATAGAAGGAACTCAAGGGTCAGGTCTCCGATACTTTTAGGTACCGTACATGCTAACCAGTAGACAGGGGGTGACATCTTTATCAGCAGGTTAAATAAGTTCTGTGTAATTCACGAATGTGAAACAGGGCGAGCCATAGTGACATCACCGGTAGGGTAACGTATCAACAAGACCCCATCTCAAGATTAGTGAATTAGCTGCCACGAGGGAAAAGACAAGGGATGGGGGGAGGGTTTGTGTCGATTCATAGATAACTGAAACTTACGGTGGTTAATACGAATATTAGTAAAATGTAGATAAAATAAGTAAGAAATTACTTGATTGTTTATGATGCCTGTACCGTGTTGTTGTTGTTGGCGCTCTTGGGGACGCCGCCCTCTATATGTCTGACGATGAGTCCGAAGAAAATCCCAGCAGGCGATTATCTTCTCATCAGGGAATGACGATGAGTTCGACGTGAATCTTAACATCGCGTTCACCTTCGCATCCGTGACTCCTTTGAACTCTGAATCCAATATTGATGAAACACTTTTGGACACGTTTTGAATACATGAAGAAACGTTGAAATTTTCAGACTTCTTGGTTTTATTTTCATTGCCAGTCTTGTGCTTAGCATTAGCATCGAACAAGTTGGACAATATCGTAGGTGGTACGAATTCAAAACTATTCAGAGCAAGACGGATATCTATTACTGGACAGATAGTAAGTAGGAAATAATTACTATCTCCCAGATAAAGACATATCCCGCTCCAACAGTTAAGGATTGCTCTGGCCACGTCCTTACAACTGGTAAAGATAGGAAAGGTATGTTTGTCCAACATTTACTTAAGAGAGATGCAGAGAACTCTACGACCCCTTATTAATACCTCGGGAATTTAGGAATTATGTTAGTAGGGCAGGAAAGCCACAGGATACACCCAATCAATGTTGCTTTCATTGCCAGTCTTGTGCTTGATAATAAATTATTCGTCGTTACACACGCGCAGGGGTCAATTGGTTTCGTATTTCTTTAAAACTAACTCTAAAATTAGATAATAATAGATATCGCTTGTCGTTCAAAAACTTCGAAACAAGTGCAAATAAATGAAAATCAAAAAAGGGGTTAAACACAAAAAAGGAAAGAGAAATGCTTTTAACTGTATTTTGTTAATAAATGCAACATTCATCCTAAAAATTTAAAATGCTAAGAGCAGCTACTATTACATCAACAGACTAGAAATAGTCCCAATGATGTGGTAAAAAAAGTACAGATTAAACAGACTACATATACTACAGTTACAAACGAAAATAACAAGAAAATCATTGTCAAAAGTTACTAAAAATTTATAAGTCTAAAATTTTACACTTAGCTGTTGGGCGTCAAGCGCCTTCGGGTCAGCAAAAAAGGAAGAGAATCTTATAGCTACGGGCTCGACGTTGATCAATTGGCAGCGATTCTCGTAGCTTGGAAGACAAAGTGGGTATCTCCAAGGCAGCTTACGGAGCGCGAAGCGAAGAAAACTTAGTTGTACAGATTCAATTCGCTCGGCCCCGCCCCGCCCCACAGTTCAGGCTCCAGACTGCAGAGCAGTATTCCAACGTAGATCGCACGAGAGAGCAATAGAGTGATTTCAAGCAGTAAATGTCTGTGCAGTTCTTAGTATTCTTGAAGAAAAAGCCAAGATTTCTTGACGCTTTGTCGACGACATACGATATATGGTGTTAGTATGTCAGCTTTGATTCCAGAAAAACGCCTAAGTCTTTCACGCAATGCACCCGTTCGATGGTCGTGCCTACACTGAGCAAACTAGAATTGAGATTTTTATAATACGTTTCGTATGAACGAGGATTTTGAACTGGGAAAATTATTTCATACGACACGTATGTTTTCCATAGCAGGCTTATACAAATTGCACGTCTCAATTATGATTTTCATACGAAACGCGTTTGAAGTTCATACGAGACTACAATGAACTTTATTATAGCGAATTCGTTTATTATCGGGGTTGGAACCAGTTCCAACCCAGTGCGAAACCGAACTTTTTGTCAGTGCGAACCTCAACCTGATCTAGGTTTTAAAAACAAACGAGCAAACTGACGTTTGTCAGAAAACAAGCAGACCCAATCTTGATACCCGATCCAGGTTGGAACTGAATAATAAACGAATTCGCTATTAGTTTACCTTATGTTGTTCGTATGAAACGTTCGTATGACGTTTGTTCAAAGCAAAACAATATGGCGTACGAATAGCAATTGTTATCGGATCTCAAGGTTCCGGGGGAAGCTTTGCCTGTGTTCTGAGGTAAAAAACGCTAAATTCAGTGTAAAAGGATGTTCCGGGTACAAATTAGCATCTATATTGTCATTTAATCAATGAATTTCGACAAAAATTACAGAGTGTGGTGTAAATACGGCAGCCTTAATAACGTGGACTAAGCAAAACATATTTCAGGCATTGTCTCGTGCTAATATAAACTGGAAATATGATCTAATTTGGGCATTAATTTTGGAGTGGCGAGAGAGAAATGTAAGTAGTATTGTGTAATGATTATTTCAAGTTTATTGATTTTAAAGTGCTCCCCAGAATCTGTCTACCATCGCGATATATAGCAGAAAATCCAAAGTCTCGGACACGATCGCGTGCGAAGGAAGTGGTCTGAATTGCCACCCAAACTGTAAACCCGGCGGGGATGAGGCTGTAGGCGAAAGCAGTGGCCTCAGCAACTACCCGGATTGTTGTAGTTCTAACGGAAGCGTAGCTGAAAAGACAACACGAGGCAACAGCAGTGGCCCAGATTGTAGTCCCAGCGGTGGAAAAGCTGTGGAGACAATTTTTGGTGAAAGCAGTGAGGACGCAAGAGAGGAGTCAATTGAATGCAACGACACTGATCTGAATAGCCAACCAGATTGTAGTTCAGGCACAGGCGTAGCTGAGGAGAGCCACAGTGCAGCGATAGCCGAAAATGTAAGTTATTTAGTCTCTTTTCATGTTTTGAAAGCACGTAAGTCATTTTTTTTTCTCTTAGGTCGATGACGAGGACGATTAATTGTATTCACCAGGCATTCTGAAAAACCTGCTTAAACAGTCAGTGTTTGGGATCAAGCTGCTTCAGAAAGCTGAAGAACTGGAGCTATCTACGGAGGGACAAAAATGCGTCACGGATGTCGTAGCTGAATACCACCTGTCAAGAAAACGCAAAACAACATCACAGCTAATGGAAGATTATGCCACTGTCATTGTAAAAGTTTTCAAAAGAGAGCAAAAGGTATTAACGATGTGAAAATATCACTAAAATGTGGGGGTTGTAATGATACTTGTTTTGCAGGACACGTATTACATTCCGAAGAAAGGAAACCCAGGCGGCAAGCTATACAGTCGAATCAACTATATTCGACAAGCCGACCGTAAGAGGATCAAGGAGGAAGACAATCGTCAGACGTTCCCAAAGATTTCTGAGACAATATTCGCTCCAGAAATCCTAAACGGCATTTCATGGTTGCAATTGAACCGACTCCCATGGTCTAACGTTTTGTCCCAGTGGGAAATTACTTTTATCGACAGGAAAGCACTGCTTGGTGACCAAAAGAAAATTCCAAATCTATTTAAGAAGTACCCACATTTCAAAGACGAGTTTGGCTTCCAGCTGGTGAGTTGGTAATAAACAGTTATAATAATACAGAAAGTGCTTAAAATTTTATTTAAATTTTCAGCTTGATATCGATTACCGCCTGCTCGGCTACGGCGATCCATCCACAGGACAAAACAAGTGGGATCAATTACTTGAACCAATTGGCAAGTACATAGACAAACACGGAAAAGATATATCAGTTTCAGAATTGCTGCCGGTGATCTCAAGCACCGACTACTCTCTAGGTTAGTATGAACAAATAAAAGGCTAACTAAGTCATTTCAAAATTAAATATATAAGGGAAACAGACTGAACTGTAGGCAGCAGCAAAAGGACAAAGACGATTATTTTTGTTTATAAACGTTTCCTTGTATATACTTTATCATTAAGGTGATATTCTAATGAATCCTTAATGTGGAACTTTAAAAAATGTCAGCTTCCACAAAACATACAATAATAAATTGTATGTTTTGTGGAAGCTGACATTAGTTTTTTTTTTCTATGGAATTGTTACTCTCTGTTTGTTGCAGCGCAGCAACCGAGGAGCAGCAGTTTCATATGTGTATATTTTGTGGAAGTTGGTGCTTTTGAAGTTCCTTAGAGTATCACTTTAAACATCTGATATATAATGCGATGCTTATTATTATTCATTTTTCAGATTCCCGCTTACTTGCAGTCCTCCGAGGATTAAGCACGGTGTTAATTCCTGTGAAAGCTGACAATGGATTCAAACCAACTATAGCTACTGCTCAAAGTGACACTTTTCTGATGGTTAAAACGAAGGAAGAAGCCTTCGAAGAACTCGAAAAGTTGCGCAATACATGGGCTGAAAAAGGCGGAGCTGCTACCCCGAAGTTAATTGTGTTTGGAGAGAACACCGTTATCGCGTTTGGAGAGTGTATTGTTGCTTACGGGAACGTTCACTATACGCTTCCGAGCATTGTGAGAGGAATAGATGTTTATGTCAAATTGTTCGTAGTGCTCGGTCTGCCTCCTTCGAAGATATCCAAGCTGATCTGGCTTTTCATATTGAAATACGTATACAGTATTGATAAAACCTGCTCGTACGTGTCCATCAAAAACTTGATAAAGTTCATCGAATCATGCTCGTGACATGTTGTTTTGCCGACTGCTCAGCTCAGTTTTCGGCGGTGGAGTATTTTTTAGCGCATCTCGATGGTCACGGACCCCCATCTAACTACCAATATCGATGCACATATCCTGGATGTCAACAATTGTTCACCAAGACATACTCTTTCA